CACACACACACATATATATATATAAATACATCTATGGTTTCTTTTGAGAATAAAAAACACAAGATGACAATGATGCATTATCTGGATATTTTGGAAAAATATCTTTGAAAGCATAATTGGAGTCTGGAGTTTGGGAGTCTGGAGAATCAGAGCGAGATCCAAAAAAGCGCCATAAAGAATGAAAATATAGTTGGATATTAGCAACAGTAATTTTCTCTTTTCACCAGTATTTTATTGTTTTTCTTCTTCTTTTTTTTTCTTTTTTTTAGTGTTTCCATTGGGAGGTGAGATTCAACGAACAACATCTTCCTTCAAAATAAGTTTAAAGTATTACTAATTACTAATATCTAGTTTGTGATGCTGTAACATGTTTTTTTTTTTTTTTTTTTTTTTTTTTTTTTTTTTTTTTGCATTCAGTTGCTATATCTCCATTTTAAAAGACAAAAGTTTAAAAGTTATAAATCAGGCGTCAAATCTTTCTTTGGATTGCTTCTTTTGCCGTCAAAGATTTGGTCTGAATGTAACATCCCACATCGCCCAGGGAAGTGGATCCTGTAAGTTTTATATATTCCCATCTCTACCTAGCATGAGGCCTTTTGAGAGCTCACTGGCTTCGGGTTTCATTAGAACTCCGAAGTTAAGCGAGTAGCGCGCGAGAGTAATCCCATGATGGGTAACCCACTGAGAAGTTCTCGTGTGAGTTTCCAGAAACGAAACTGTGAGGGCGTGGTTGGGGCCCAAAGCGGACATTATCGCGCTACGGTGGTGGAGCGGGCTTAGGATGTGGTGGACCCCGAGCCGGGATGTGACAATTTGGTATCATAACCAATCCCTGGTCGGATATGTGCCGACAAGGACGTCGGGCCCCTAAGGGGGGTATATTGTAACATCTCACATCGCCCAGGGGAGTGGATCCTATAAGCCTTATATGTATATTCTCATCTCTACCTAGCACGAGGCCTTTTGAGAGCTCACTGGCTTCGGGTTCCATCGGAACCGAAGTTAAGCAAGTAGCGCGCGAGAGCAATCCCATGATGGGTGACTCACTAGGAAGTTCTCGTGTGAGTTCCCAGAAACAAAACTGTGAGGGCGTGGTCAGGGCCCAAAGCGGACAATATCGTGCTACGGTAGTGGAGCGGGCCTGGAATGTGGTAGACCCCTGGCGGGGATGTGACACTGAATGTGATGGTGCATGAAGAAGGATATAATATATGAGTTAAAATTGCCTTGTAATTCTTACCCTTATGGATTAGAGAGGAACGAAGCCAATTTTAGAGTACTCTAGAGTTATAACTAAGTTCAATTATGACTTTCCATATAGCACGAAGTTATATATGACTCATTTTCATTGTACATTAGAATGAGATTGAATCAAATTTAAATACATTTATAATTTGTAGTGAATTTGAAAAAAAAAACAATTACTTTAAAATTCAAGTGTTATCTTGAAAGTTCCTCATCTAAACACATAGTAAAGTTCAAATTCAAAATTAATTACATTTAATTATTGTCAATTAAAAATAGTCTGAGGACAAAACATATTGTAAAAAAATTAATTTGGTAACGTGAGAAACTTAATCAATACCATAAAAGAAACCATCATTTTGACCACTTAATGAGAAGAAAAACTCAACTTTCTTTTGAACATTAAAGAGATTATAGTTGTACTATCTTATATATCATGCACGTAGTGAGAATGAAGTCGGACACGTTTTAATGAAGTACACGAATACAATCTCGCTCTCAGTTTTGTTTCACTCGTTACAAACTGCCCTTGACACACCACAAGTATATTGGCTGATTGAGGGAGACTAGTGGGTGATTATCTATCTTGTTCTATGGTGCAAATTTTGTGTGATTTGGTTAATTATAATTGGAACACAAGGAATAATGGGATGTGGGTCACAAGATTGTGCAAAAGCCATAACAATTTGATATTGTAATCTTTAAGTTATTGAACCTAATAAGCTCAACGTAGGATTGCCATCGACCGCACACTGAAATTGGCAAAAGTCACCAAACAACAAAAAGGTTGAAATCATTGCGAGAGATCCAGAAACCCACCTTAGTTTTTGATACACGTGACTGTCATCCAAACCCTAAAAACGCAGTCCAGTCAGCCCTAGAAATCTCGACCGCCCAATCAGTAGTCTACACGTCAGCAGATAAGAAAAGGGGTTTTCCATAAAATCTCAAGTCACTTTTGCAGGTGGTATGGGTGGCATACTGAGAATCATCCAAACAAGACATCCATCCATGATTGTCCCATGGCTGAGATTGGATGAGAGTTGAGAATATGTGGATCGCCAATATTTTTCACCACAATATTCTAGTGTTATCTCATTGTTATTTTCATATTTTCTTAAATCCATCAATGCCACTTTTATTATTTGTTTACGTTAATAATTCGAGCTTAAAACTAATATCTCGCTGATTTCACGTCACTTGAGTTGCAGAGCTGTTTTCACATGAATTTCAAACATCTTACATGTTTTTTTTTTCTTCTGTTTTTTGTTATTATTAAATAAATCAAACAAAAACAATGAACATAGTTGAATACAAGTGTGTAGAAGAAGAAAAAAAAATGAGTTTATCAGGTCCCTCCCCTTGAGTTATACTTACTTAAGCTAAGTAACCATACTTCAATTTTGCTCTATGTAAAGTCTTTTTTCTCTATGGGTTACAATCATAATCACAATGAGACATTATAAGCCATTTTAATTTGGAAAAAGAAAAACCATTTCCTTGAAAAAAAACCTTTTTTCATTTGTAGTTTTTAATTTTTGGTTAGGATAAAGAGGAAATATAAGAAAGTTGTATGCAGTCTAATATTCTAGTGGATAGAGTATTGGGTTTCTACCCATGTGTTCCGGGTACAAAACTCTCTTCTCTCTAACTTATTGTAATAGTTTTGAAATCTCCCATTTCCTTTTATAATTGTACAATTAAAAAAAATATAAGGAAGAAATGAGGATGAAGAAGGGTTGTGGGAGAATATGGTAGAAATGTAAATGGAATGGTATACACCATGAAAATAAAAAACAAGAAATGAAAACAATTTATAGTACCGTTTCTTTTCTGGTTTTTTTTTTGCTTTTCACCTTGTATGTTCATTCATGTACAGTGCTCATTCTCCCTTCACATTCTTGATTCACCATCCTTCCATCTACTTTCTTTCTATATAATTGAAGATTGAAAAATGAAAATAAAATTGTTATCGAACGCATAACAGATTTGGTGTCTTCTTTTATGAACATTAGATTTGGTGTTTGATGATGTGTAAAATCTGTAGTAACAGGCTAATATATATAAGTCAGAAATAGAATGTTGGAAACTAATTAGACATTTCATTCTCAAAAGTAATTTTAAAACGGACTTACATTAAGTAGTTAACATTTTTCTGGTATTTTATGCTATTTGTGGATACCTTTTTTTGTTTGTTTTAATCAGCTTGAGAAAATCTTTTTAAGTTGTTCTCAATGGACTTGGATCCCCGCCGGATCCCCTCCGGATCTCCTTCCTGGGATTCTAGTGATCAATGTACACGACTGTTGATAAAAAATTGTGTGATCCTAATTAAATACTTTTTATATTTTTAAAAGTAAAACAATCTCTTTTTAAGTGAAAAATTAAAAAAAAAATTATTACCGCACGATTTTTTATCAACAGTCCGTGTGCGTTATTCCATAGGATCCTATGAAGGGGACCCAGCGAGGATCCAATTTCGTTCTCAATAATTGGGTTGTTGTTGCTCTATTATTATTTAATCATGTATTGAACTTGTGACAATTGGGAATTTTATTAACCCAAAAATTAGTGTGAATTTAATTAATGTGAAAGGGCAACGAAAAGGTATCCTCCTGTTTACTCAAAAAAAAAAAAAAAAAGATTTCCTAACATGAAAGAGGGCAAAATGCAAAAAATGCAAGAGCAAAAGTGAGCAAAATAAAATGATGTTTTTTTTTTTATCAAATGATAGATTTATTAGATTAAATATTAGATTAAAAATTTAATGAGATTCGAACATACATTATGATGCAAGTACAATACTCTTCTTCATTACTATAATAAAATGCTACTTAATAATTTATTTATTTTTTTCCTGAGATACAAGATAAAATGATTGAAATGGTGAAAAGATATTTAGAAAATTAGAGAAAGAAAAGGCAGAAAAAAAGAAAAAGAAAAAATGGTCCCACAGCCAGAACTGCTGAAACTGAGCATTGTCTCTTCCCCTGTCTCATCTCCATCACTCATACATAGGCACTTCCCAGTCTCCCAGTGCCCCTCTGCCTCTGGTCTGTAGAGAGAGAGAGAGAGAGAGAGAGAGAGAGAGAATCAGTGTCTCTTCATATGCCTGTGGTATATTTACAGGCTTCCCAACGGTTCTTTACACCCTTTTATTTGTTCGGTTCGCCCCGTGACCTACTCTGCAAAAAATCCACCTCCTCTCTCTCTCCCCATCTCTCTCTCTCTCTCTCTCTCTCTCCCCTCTTTTGGTGCTGAATTTTCACAGTATATACACAGTCTTCGATTTTCTTTATTGGGTAACTTTCCTTTCTGGGATATATAAATTCCTTTTTCTGCATCAGCCAATACCCAATTTACTCATTCCCTTCGATATAGTTTCAGTCACCTGGGTTTTCTTCTCTCTAGGGTTTTGGGAGACTCTGTTTTTCAAGAGAAAATAGAAAAGTTACTGGGTTTTTTTGAAAAAAAACCCTTCAACATGTGTCCCATCAAATTTTAATTCCTTTGCTCCAATTTTGCAATTCCAGAAAAAACCCTTCTTTCTATTTTGATCACACAAAAGCTGCTTGGCCTTTTCCCACTTTTCATTTCAAACCCAATACCTTTTCTTTCCTCTACTTTTAGGGTTTAGGGTTTTGTACCTTTTGAGTAAAGATTTTGGCTTTTTAGATTTTAGTCCTCCAAACAACTTGAATTCAACAATTCCATGACTTCATCTCCTCTGTTTTGCGTGTTCTTCAGCTGAAGAATCTGAATTTTTGGTTTCTAAATTCTCTGTCTTTGCCTGTTGTTCCTCAGAATCATCAAAAGATGTCTTCGTGCATAAGCGGCGGCGGAAGAACCTATGCGTTCGAGCTTGAAATAATTAAATCGCCGTCCACATCAACCTTCACCTCCACCTCTTCTCCCTCCTCAACTCTCTCGGAATCCTGCAACTCCGGCCTCGCAATTTCGACACGAAAACCTCGTACCCCCAGAAAACGGCCCAACCAAACATACAATGAAGCCGCCGCATTGCTCTCCACAGCGTACCCCAACATCTTCTCCTCCAAAAGTTTCACAAATCCCAGAAAATTCACCAAACCTCACGACTCCTTCTTCGACCAATCCGCGGAGTTGCTCCTGCCGTTCAGAGTCATCGAGGCCGAAAACTCCGGGTTCTTGCTCCACCACCAACACCGGGAAAACCCCAGTTCCCGATTAGAGCCCAAGTCCCTGAACTCGTTCGAGAAGCCGTGCCGGAGTCCGGGGGAATTCGAGTCCCAACCGAATTGCAATTCCGATTCCATGGAGTTGAGTGACGGGTATAATTTCCAAGAGGAAGATTTCGATGCGGAGTCGATTCTCGACGAGGAAATTGAAGAGGGGATTGATAGCATCATGGGAAGTATGAGTGTGAACATGGACTTGGAGGAGGAGTCTAACAATGGCGGAGGTGGGCAAATAAAGAATTCGAATCCAAACCCGAATTCGACTTGGAATTCCTGTTATGGGTACCCAATGGGGCTCGGATTTGGCGGGAAATTTGAGTTCGGGTCGAGAAGAGGAGTGAGGCCGTTGAGGCACGTCGACGAGGGGAACTGGTGGAGTTTTCCCACCGTAGATGTTCTTGAAATCTCGCCCAGATTCAACAAATCTCTATCATCTTCCACCCCGGCTCCGGCAGCGGCCACAGCCAAGAAGAAGAAGAAGAAGAAGGTGGAGAAACTGTCGGTCTTGGAATCGAGAATCACCGCGGAATCGCCTAATGAGGCGAGTCCGATTCCCAAGCCCCCGGCGGAGGAAGAGCCCGGGCTGATGCTGAAGTTGGACTACGACGACGTTTTGAATGCCTGGTCGGACAAAGCGTCGCCGTTTTCGGAGGAAATTCCGGGATCTGATGCGGCGGGGAATGATGTCGCTGTACGTTTCTCATCTCTTGCCGGGGAATCGAATTCCGGGAAAAAACTTAAACCTGTTCAAAGTCTGGAGCTTTTAAAAAAAAATAAAAAATAAAAATCTGCTCCTCTGTTTTTTATGTCAGTCTCGTAAAGTGGGTGCCCTTTATAAAATGAAGTCAGTTTTTTATCGGTCCATTTTTGTTTTGCGCTTTAATTTATTTTTGGTTACCATTTTCGACGTTTCTTAAATCTTCACTCTTAAAATTTAGGTGGTAAAGTTGGTTAAATTATTCTACGCACCTCACTTAATGCTATAATAGTAATCCGTTAAATTTCTTAACTTATATAAAAATAGAAACTTGGGAGCTATAATTAGTAACTTATAAAATAAGTGTTAACAATAGTTTAAGCTCAAATGACGGAAAAGTCACTTGTAATTTTGCCAAGTCGATTGCTTTGCCGTAAGTGCCAAACCATTATTAGTCTAAAACAAAGCATATGTTTAATATTCAATATACCATTAATTACATTTTTTTAATCATAGTATCATTTTTGGGTCTGCATCGTAGAATTCATTATGTTCTTCTTTTTGGACTCAGTCATAATATTTATTATTTTATTGAAGTCGGCATTGGTCATTTTCTGGGTCTATAATCTTTTGCGAAAATACAAAATATGTGAGAATTAAAGAAGTGTCCTTCTCATTTTGTATCTGAATGATTATTTTGTTGATAATTGGGTTTGTTTTGGGCAGGCCAGGTTGGCGCAGATTGATTTATTCTCGGACGTCGGAGGACTGAGGGAAGCTAGCGTGTTGCGCTACAAGGAGAAACGCCGTACTCGCCTCTTCTCTAAGAAGATCAGATACCAAGTTAGAAAAGTCAACGCCGATCAACGACCCAGGATGAAGGTACTTATGTTCTCCTAAAACATTCTTCATCGTTTTTTTTTTCTAACAAATGATAAGATACACACTAATTTATCTAAAATAGAGTAAACTTGACACTCGAATTGATTAATTTTGTTTCAAATTAAATAAGAAATAAATAAAAGGAATTTCAACGAAAAACTCCTGATGCTGTTCATTTTAACGAAAAATCACATTTTTACACTAAAAAGTCAATTCTAGTACTATTTACTTTACCCTTTATTTTTACCTTTTCGTTCAAATTCAAAGTTTTCAAATTCTTTTCATTAGTTTTCTATAAATAAAAGATAAATAAAGATGTCAGGATGGTTGTGATGATTTCCTTTACAACACATTTCTCATGACTAGTATTTATGTTTCCTTCTTTTTTATCCCTCCTATCTTTTTCTCTCATTATTAGTTAGTTGAAGTTGTGAGCAATCCATGTCCGCATTTGGGAAAATTCTTCCATAATACATAGCATCCTTTTATAACAATATGTAATGTTACGAGTATTGAATGATCTAGATTGATTTGGATTATTGCTTTATTGTGGTCCCATGAATCCATATCATCTAATGCTCGTAGCATTTCATGTTACGTTGCATCGAAGTGAAACCCTTGAATTTTGAAGAAAACTTGTGTAAGACATATTATTGGTATAATTGATACTATTGATAATCCAAATTCTGATTGTGGATATTTTGTTAATATGCATGTTAATAAAAACTTACTTAGAGAAGTAACTAATGATCAACGTAAACACCATCTTATTAACAAAAATAGAAATTTAATTGAAAAAAATTTGATCATCTTGATAGAATAAAATGAAGCTTAGTATAATACAAGTGAGATATTCTATTTTAGTCTAATTTGAATTGTGGAAAGAAAGATTCCAATTTGTAGGAGTTCCGTTCTAACTAATATGACTACGCTCACGTATGCAACACAAAACCTCATTTTACTTGTACTTGTTCTCCATCATAGAAAATCTTTTTGTTTCAGGGGCTGAATATTGGTTTTCTTATTCTGTTTCAGGGTCGATTTGTTAGAAGGCCACATTCTAGCACAAATGCTCAAAGACAAAAGGAAATATGACGATTTTCTCTTTGGATCATGGCCATAGGACACACTTTCTGGCCCCTCTTTCTCTCTTTCCCTTTGTTATATTAATTAATTAATTAGTCTCCTATTTTGTTAATTAATTTTTATTTTTATGTTTCTCACACTAGCTAAGAAGCCCAAGAGATGAAGACTACGCTAGTTAATTAAGAAGGGGAGCATGGAGAATCCATCAACTTTTTAGTGTCTAGGTTCTCATTTTCCGTACATGTTTCTCTGTTTTTTTAACTTCTACTCTGGTTCTCAAGTCATGAATAACTTTTGATAGGTAAAAGAGATTTTCTTGTAGGAGGCACAAGTAGCACATAAATGAAGTTATTTTAGTTGAATTTACTGGGGTTGTTCTCTTCTGTATTAAGGTTTCGGTTATATGTGTATTTATATTTTCTTTGAAAAGTTGGATCGCATACCTTTTCATTCCAACTAGATTTACATACGACTCATAATCAATCCTTATAGATGTTGTCCCTTTTGAGGTTGGAGTTACTCTTCATACATGTCATCCGACAGCTTGAACCCTTTTCTATTCGAATGAGAAAATCCTAGCACCCGCCATAAGATTGAAAGATCTAAACATTCCTTTTTCAGAGAGATAAACTACAAATGAATGGGGTCTCACAGAGTCCTTTAGTTCCATTCCAGCCGATTAAGACTTACATGGATAGCTTAATAAAGAAAAGGAGAACGAAGCCCGGAGTTGATAGTTCAATCCACCCATAGAAAAGTAAGAAGGTTTTTGGGACTTGACTCCATGATAAGAGGAGTTGCTCTTCTTATTATTATTTTTAAATATCAACTAGGGTATTATATTCTTGATATGCGTTCAAATTGTCACATCCCGGTTCGGGACGGAACACTTCCCGGCCCCGCTCCACCACCATAGCACGATATTGTCCGCTTTGGGCTTACCATTCCCTCACGGTTTTGTTTTTGGGAACTCACGAGCAACTTCCCAGTGGGTCACCCATCATGGGATTGCTCTAGCCCCCTTCTCGCTTAACTTCGGAGTTCCTACGGAACCCAAAGCCAGTGAGCTCCTAAAAGGTCTCGTGCTAGGTAGGGATGAGAATATATATTTAAGGATCACACCCCTGGGTGATGTGGGATGTCACAATCCACCCCCTTAGGGGCCCGACGTCCTCGTCGGCACACACGCGACTAGGTTTAGGCTCTAATACCAAACTGTCACATCCTAGCCCGGGGCGGATCACTTCCCCGGCCCGCTCCACCACCGTAGCACGATATTGTCCGCTTTGGGCTTACCATTCCCTCACGGTTTTGTTTTTGGGAACTCACGAGCAACTTCCCAGTGGGTCACCCATCATGGGATTGCTCTAGCCCCCTTCTCGCTTAACTTCGGAGTTCCTACGGAACCCAAAGCCAGTGAGCTCCCAAAAGGCCTTGTGCTAAGTAGGGATGGGAATATACATTTAAGGATCACACCCCTAAGTGATGTGGGATGTCACAGTTCAAATAGTGAATTTTCTCAATTTAAAGGGAATTGGTAGTTTTGTTAAGAAAAAAAAAAAAAAAAGGTTGAGACGGAGAGGAATAAAATATATAATCATGTGTATTTGCAAATTGCATTGGCTTTGGTTCTAACGGTTGCTATTACTTCAGTGGAGAGGGCATTTTCCGTTATGAATATTGAGAAAGTCTATTGCATAACCGAATGTGAGATTAATGATTGAGTGATAGCGTGGTATTTAGAGCAGTGTTTTTTCTTCTATTGATAATGAAGTTATAATGCAACGTTTTAGAATATAAAAACGCGCCGCAGACAATTGTAACTTGTATTGGCATTTGTTCTATAAATTATGAATGATGAAACTATGATTTAATTTTCAAAGTTATTATATGTCTAAGAAATGTTTGTGAACTTTTACATGTGACCCTCCAAATAACTTTTTCTGGATCTGCCACTGACATCCCTCTTTCAATGTTGGAAAAGTATGAAGTTTGAAGATGTTCAAGAGCATATGGGAATAATATGTTAAACTTGACTTTAGGGGTAGGACCGTAGGATAGGCTAAATTTCCAGTTTAACCAAATATTGAGGGAGTGGGGGAAATGATGAATTATTCAAAATCTCAAAATGTCCATCCCTGCTTAGAACTTTTAGAGAATGCAACTTAGGTTTGAATTTGAAGGTCTATAGAATTTAATAGAGTTCTCTGCACTCTATTTATATTTGTTCTTTTTATTTCTCTCCAATTAAGCCTAAATATACCTTATAGAGGCCCAAATGCATTAGAAAACTTATTGAGGCCCAATAGACCGTTTACGTGACAACTACACACTCAAGTTTCAACACTAAGCAATGTGACTCTGTCTGTGTTATTCATGGTTGTATTATTTAAATCCTTGATCACTCACTCACCGCAGATATGCATTTAGGGTTCAATTCATCTTACCAAAATTCTCAAATTTTCTCTTGTTTGTCTTCGATTGTTTGAATGCTAAATTTCACTAATTTCGGGTCGAATTTGAATGGACATTGATTTTGGGATTCTTTTATTGTGGTTTTGGTGCCCACGCTCCATCAAGAGAGCAACTAACATGAAACGGGTAAAATAATCCCAAAAATTCTAGAGATGACACGTGGACTTTTGCCCAAGAAAGACAAGATTGCCCTCAATAAATGGGCAAGCTCCTCAGATACTCCCATTCGCAACTCACACCTCTGAAGGTCCCATTAGCTGAATACGACTGCCCACTGCTCACATGCCCTTGACAAGGAAAACTCAAAGAATTAAAGATAAGAATTAATTACACAATTCCTATCTTTAATACATTCCCAATTAAAGATTATATTTAATGCATTCCCAATTGAAGATTGACTCCATTCAAGTAAATAATCCCAATTTAAATCAATTAGGGATTACTCCATTATCTCAAGATATTATTTCCTATTTAATATCTTGAGAATATTTCTCCATAAACCTTGGCCAATAGGATGCCGCCATATGTAGGGTAAACCCTTAACACCATGGCTGGCCACTCCCCTATATATACCCTTTATTCTACCAAATTTCGGTTTGCTTTTGCTACCCTTAAAAGCCCTGAACACTTACTCTTTTTCAGAGAAGCTAACTTAGGCATTGGAGATCCATTGGCCTAAACCCCCTCCTCGTGGGCGCGTGAGGCTGAGGTCCTTGATCAAAGGTGTTGATTGTTTTACAGGTTCATTTTCGTCAAAACTAGAGATGGTAGAAATTTACATCAACAAATTGGTGCTTTCATTGAATTTTTTCTCACACGCCATATCGATTAATTTTTTCTAGAAAGGTTTCTTGATCAATCATTGGAGAAAGGATACAATGGTAAGAAATTTAGAAACCACAACGAAAGAGACCCCGTACATACAATGATTTAGACCGGAGAGCGGAGACGAGGATATAGCCCCACGACTACGATCCTCAATACTCAACACGACAGCGGGATGAGCCCCACCATCGCGGCCACTACCTTGTAGCCTATGACAATGACCACTGCAGCAGCATCAACCCAAGTCGAGGCTCAGGTGCGCACTACAGCGGCCCACCGCGCTGCTAGGGCACCAACATGCTATCGGCATGAGGCCCATCCCATTGCAGCAGTAGGCATTACTGCATAACAAATCCAAACCCGAGCCCAGACCATGGTAACTGCTACCATCTAGATAGGCCAATGGGCCCAAGCTTAAGCCACACAACCAGTAGGCAACGACATGGCAGCCCAACAGCCAATAGGGCCCAATATTATGCAGGCCTAAGGTGAGTAAGCGCCAACCTAACCATCCAGCCGGGTTGGCCTGTCTCGCGACCTGCTCCAACGACCCCGTTTCACGGCCGAATCCAATTTGAGACCACATTTAACGATCCAGATTTCGGCCACTAGTCCAGCAATCAACCCATGGTTATTTTCACCCCACTTTTCTGCAGGAATGCCCGCTTTAGGCTCAAACTTTGTACCTACAGTTCACTATATTTCCACCACACGTGGAGACACGCATTATCCAAACTCTTCCAATCCAAATGACGAGCACCACCTGCCCCAACAGGTCGCCAATTTGATAAGCGCCCTTGCGCAACAAACCACCTTAGTGAACCAACTTCTTGAGCACATTGAAACGCAACGCACCCCAGATGAGGTGTCTCGAAGCAGGACAAGGGTGGAATAACGCGACTCACTTCAACGACCGATGATGCTCTTCGTAGAGACGTGGCCAACATGAGTAGGTCACCATTTATAGATGAGATCGAGCAGATGGAGCCACAACGGAAGTTTAACACGCCACATCTTACCTTGTTCGAAGGAGATGAAGATCCGGACAGACACCTGATGCATTACCAAAACGCAATGACCCTCTACTGCTTGTGTACGCTCTCTAGTGCGAGAAGGTAAACTAATTCCCTGACACCCATCTGGGTCTGCTCTCCAGCGCGAGAGGGTAAACTATTCCAAAATATCCAAACGTGGATAGGTTGTTCGACTGCTCAATCCCCCTGAATTTATCGACTACTTGCGCTGGACAGCTTCCATAATTGGTCACAATAGACTTTTTCCTAAAAATACTTAGCCAACTAAAGGATTCAATTCCGCGGGAGCCTGGGTTTTTAACTGGAAAAGATGTTAAGTGTAAGATCCCTGCTCATGAAATAGTTCGCATGACTAGATGGTCCATTCTTATTTTTCGTACATGTTTCTCTCTTTTTTAACTTCTACTCTGGTTCTTAAGTCATGAATAACTTTTGATAAGTAAAAGAAATTTTCTTGTAGGAGGCACAAGTAGCACATAAATGAAATTATTTTAGTTGAATTTACTTGGGTTGTTCTCTTCTGTATTAGGGTTTCGGTTTTTATATGCGTATTTATATTTTCTTTGAAAAGTTGGATCGCATACATTCCAACTAGATTTACATACGACTCATAATCAATCCTTATAGTTTTACTAACTAGTTGTTACGTTAGTGGTATATCTTGCCGGCGGATCCATTAAGGGGAAGGGGGTCAGCCTACCCTCTAAACTCAGGTGAATCTTCATGGATGACATAGATGTTGTCCCTTTAGAGGTTGGAGTTGCTCTTCATACATGTCATCCAACAACTTGATCCCTTTTCTTTTCGAATGAGAAAATCTGAGCACCCGTCATAAGATTTAAAGATCTAAACCTTCCTCTTCGGACCGGAAACGGATCCAGGGAGATAGACATGAAATGAGTGAGGTCTCACAAAGTCCTGTAGTTCCGTTTCGGCCAATTGAGACTTAAGTGGATAGCTTAATAAAGAAAAGGAAAATGAAGCCCGGCGTTGATAGTTCAATCCACCCATAGAAAAGTAAGAAAGTTTCTG